AGGCCGGCCTACCGCCCAATTCGAGCGCGTGGCGAGATGTGCGCATAGCAATATCGATCGCCGGGCGGTCACATCTTGCCACGCGCTCGAAGTGGGCGGTAGGCCGGCCTAAGACAACGATTTTTAATAATTAATTACTCGTTAACTATTACGAAAATTGCAAAATGGTACAGGACTTTTCCGTTCATCTCGATCCGTTCTACCTTCTCAAAAATTTTGTCGGATATGGAAAGACTCACCCTGTATATATTGTTTAATGTGTGTGTGTACATCCTTTTTAAATAATTATATTTAAAAGATGTACAATTATGAAATATAATTGTATATTCTTAGCAGGTATTCATCTTTGTAAAAAGATGTTCGTATTGCATGTGATTGCGATTTTCACGTGTATACTAGAAAATTTTCTTAGGCCAATATCTTTGGTATTCATAGGCAGGACGAATAACGCAGCGACCTACTCTTTGCCCATGAATACCAAACGAGTACCGGGGAAAATCAATTCCCGATTGCATTAATAGTATTTACGACGTTCGACGACACCGGCAGAGCGCTCTTTCTCGTGGTATTATAATATTTAGCAGGTAACGATTCGAGATAGGCGAAAAGCGACGCCGAGGAACAACACGCGTGCCACGCATATCCGAGAACCGCGAATTATCACCGTGTACCTACACCGCTTATGCCACGTGAAAGATCGGCGACGATGCGAAAGAAGACAGCCAAGCCAACCCGACAATCATGGCAACAATAGCCAAGAGTGCAACACGTGCCAAATTAAAGGTTTCGTACGGGGGAAAAAAAAGAGTCCCCGTACCCCGCCGTACCGATGGGCGAGAAGGTGTGGTCGACTATGGGAAAACCACAAATGCGAGAGAAAAAAAAGGCAGCTGACGAGCGAGAAAACGGATGTGAACATTTAGCGACAGATGCTCCAACGTTTTTTTTTTTCTTCTCTTATGTCATAGAGAGCATCAACCTAAACGCACTCGCGATACAATGTAGGACGACATAAAGTGTCCTACGAAAAAGACATCGTTATCTCGTATCGCAACGAAGATTCTTGAAGTATTTCTCCAATAACTTATATCTGCAACTATGTCGTTCGTCGAAAAGATTTTTTAGATATAGCCGAGCACTTGACCGAAATAAACGGCGCGTACATTCTAGGTCGGGCTGTAGTAAAGCGGCTGGTTCCGTCATATTTAAGGGTTTCCCCTCCGGTCGCATTCAATATGCTTTTCTCAAGGTTCGCATTTACGAGTAATATAACGTCCTCGTTTCGCTCTTCATTCGCTAAGCCGACTCAATGATGCGTCCGTGACACGCTCGTCAGTGGTTTCCTTCGTCGCGCAAAGCTCCATCGCGGTTGGGACGTCGTTAGAATTGAGGTTTGCAACGCGTATGAATAAAGAGATAGAAATGAAGAAGCGACCTTGCGTCAGATTCAGTAAAGCTCGTATACTTCAACAGGCTTTCTTTTCACATCAGATATCTTAATAATTTTCGTCATTACTTTTCTCTTATTTCCATCTGTTTATGTGACCCGTCGAAAAATAGTTTTTCATATCTGCTATCAGATGACATGCAACGTGTATTCGCGGAGACAAATGGTACAGATAAAATAAGTAAAATTAAAGAAAGGATTTTGGGGAAAATCGAGATTTGCACCTTACTTGATTTATCGAGCAATGCGTAAAATTCAACTTGCCTAATTGGCGTAAATTGAGTAAGACGAGACGCATAATTTCACGGGGGGGATAAGGAAGGAAGTTGAGACGCAGGGACGCAAGCATTGTTCGTGCGGGCGACGCTCGCGAGCGATTCGCCTCCGTTACTCACGACACTCTGGATAAAAATGAAGCAGTCCTGCCAAACCGGCGCTCCTACTCTAATTAGTGCCGCGGTAATTGCTTCATAAAGTTCCAAGAGGCGGCATAATCGCACCATAGCGAAACGTGCCTCGA